CAGGACCCGGTGATTGACAGCCGCGGCCGCAAATATATACGTGATTTTGCGCACCCGTGCAGCCCTGTAGCAGTAGTTCTGCTATAGGGTGGTTGGGAAGCGGTTAAATACTTCTTAAAGATAAGACAATATCACAACACTGTGGAAAAACCCATAACAATGCAGAAACCCTTTACATCATAGGTGATTCTAAAGCCAAAATGTTTATTTTTACCTTAATGTTTTCCCTGCATTAAGGTAAAAAAAAATGTTTGGCTTTCTGTCTTCCCCCTTCTCTGTGTGAAGGGGAAGAGAGGCAAGAAGAGATCCAGTGCTGTGCATAACTGCATCTCTTCTCGCCTCTCTTCTTCTTCATACAGGGACTCGGGTAGCAGCAGGAGACATAGGCAGTGAGGAGGAACTGGGGTTAAGCCCCGCTTCGTGTGTTTATTGAGCATGGGTCCATAGACACACAGCTCAGGAGCCAGCACACTCTGTGTGCCTCTATAGCAAGCAGCTTGCTATGGGGACACAGAAAGGAGAGGATGAGCCAAGATCACTGTTGGAGTACCCCAGAAGAGGAGGTTCAGGGCCATTCTGTGAAATACCATTACACTCAGAAGGTGAATAAAACATGTTTGTTATTTTAATTAAAAATAATGTACCTTTTAGTAATGTTTTAAATTTACAGTCAGAAGGAAGAAATTAATTATAATTATTTTATTTACATTTTTTACAAAAGCTGTTTATTAATTTAATGGGTGTGATGTCATTATATTGAAGATTAGAGATCACTGCATGACGTTGTGTGCCCCATATGTGAATTCCATGTGCCTGTGCTTTTTTCTCTCCTACTAGTGAACCTTTGTAGCTGAAGAGACACTGTGGAAATTGACTTCCCAACAGAAGTTATCCTATAAACTAGGGATGAGCTCAAGATTTGGTCTGAACTTTGGCTGTTCAAGTGTAAGTCCAAATGCTGGGCCTTCTGATCTTTAGTAGCGGTATTTCTACTGCGTCTAAAAACTACAGCTTTCTTCCTGCCAATGGTTGGAAGTAGGCACCCAAAGCATTCTTAGCAACCAATGACATTATCTGGTCCCCGCCAGAAATCCCCAGCCACGAAAGCAAAGGAGCAGGGATAGCTTTGACCATAATTGATGAATGATGTCACCCAAGAGACCCCACTCCATTGTTGGAATACAGGTTCATTATGATCATCCCTACAGTAAACTCTACTGTAAACCCACTTAACTCATTCTGTTCCTGCTCTTTCCTACTACCCTGATCCTTCCAACCATATGATTTCAATTATTATGACAGGACCTCACTGATCAATTCCTACTGCATGTCTAGAATAAAATGCTTGAGCAGAGCTTACGATCATTACGTCATCATGCAGAGAATTATGAGAACACAGCTCTGGTGATTCCTGGGATTGGTCTTGCATATGCTTTTGCTATCTAATAAAATACTGTATGAGTGGATATATGTCATAGCCTCAATAAATACTGCTTTGTGGTTTTACACTATTTGAGCTCCTTTGCTTTCTTTTCATGTCATTTGTGAACATCCTTGCATATTGGATGTGACTTGATATGAGGAGTGCCAGAAAGGCGATGGGAGAACATGTCACCTATCCCTGATAGTTTTACTTGATGGTGTGGATGAGCTAAAGGGTCAAATATAGAGGATTAACTATACGCTTTTTTGACTCTTTTCTATCTAAAGAGTCTAAATACTCTGGTGAGAGTCTCCATTGTCTAAGGTGGTGGTACTTTTTGGTGTTGGAAACATCTGGACACATCAGAAGTTTATGTTATCATCAGGTGGTACAACAACACTGGAACTTTTATATTGATTTCTTTCTTCCACAAACTATTATTTTCATGCTGGTCTTTTATTTTCAGTCATTTGGTTTATATCTGTATAATATTTTGTCACACATTTATCACTGCAATTTTTATATATTTTGGTTTTACACAATTCATCTAGTTTTTTTACACAATTCATCATTTTTTTGCCAGCTGCTTCTTTTTTTTCTGGTTGGGATTCACCAACGCAAAATATTTCATTTCAAAATTAGAAAAAAATGTTGTAAGGCTGCTGAGTCTTCATTTGAAGAAGGTGGGGCAGGGTGAGCTGAACCTCTAGGTCACTAGTGGAAAAGGAAAGCAGGGTGAGTTGAGATGCTGAGTCTTTGCTGAGAGAGGAATGCAGGGTAAGCTGAACTACTGAGTCGCTGCTGGGGAGGGTAGCAGAATAGGCTAAACTGTTCAATGATTTTAATGGTTTCAGGGCTTTTGCTGTACAATTCGAAGATGTATTCAGTACTGGTTTTCTTTAAATTACTTGCTGCATTCCCAAAATAAAAGGAAAGCTTAATTCCTTGAAAACTAATATACCATGACAGCTAAGCTCTTAAAACAGTTTTGTAAAAGAAAATGAAGAAATAAAGCAGCTTGTTGTAAGTACGACTAGAAAGTTCTCCAATAAATTCACACTGTCACTTGATTATAATGATTAATGTTCTTGTATGTGTGAAAAAGTGCACTCAAGGTGACTTGGCCACCCAATAAAACACTAAGGGAGTTTGTGGAATCAATATGTTTTGAACTATAGGTTATTAGGAACAGTCTTGGCTACACAAGATGTCATGTCATTCTTTACAGTGACTAGGGTTACTGCATGTGTGAGCAATGGAATACATTTACTAAATGTATAACAGGATTCAGAAACACAAAAAAAAAATATGTGCATACTTCTAAAACACTGATTAACCACTTTACCGCCGTCCTGTAGCAGAAATATTGCTACAGGGCAGCAGGGGTGCGCAACATCACACACACACACACACACACATATATATATATATATATATATATATATATATATATATACACACACACACACACACTGTATATATATATATGTATATATACGTGATTTTGCATTTTGCCCTCCTCGCGCCACCATTTGCGGCCTCGGTTGTCAATCACCGGGCCCCAGCCGGTGATTACCTGACGGCACCCGGTGATCACCAAGTAATACCGATGGGGAAGAGAACTGTATGTAAACAATACAGTTCTCTCCCCTGTCATCTCCAGCACACTGCTTTGTATGGCTTTACATAGCAGAGCCATACAAAGCAGTGTGCTTACAGTGGAAAGCACAGACACAGCCCCATAGTAAAAAGCACACAGCACAGAGTTAACCCTTCCTGCCCAGTGCTATTAGTACAGTGTCAGTGCTTGTTATTAGCACTGATCACTGTATTGGTGTCACTGGGGATGTCAATGACACCAACTCAGTTTCCCCCAGTGTCAGAATGCCCACCGCAGTCCTGCTATAAGTTTTTGATCACCGCCATTACTAGTAAAAAAAAATAAAATAAAATTCCAGTATCTATACCACCATTTGTAAGCGCTAAAACTTTCACGTAAACCAATTAATTTACAAGTATTGGGATTTTTTATTAGCAAAGACATGTAGCAGAATACATTCTGGCCTAAATTTATGATGAAATTTTATTTTTAAATTTTTTTTTATTGGATATGTTTAATAGCAAAAAGTCAAAAATATAGTTTTTTTTCTCAAAATTTTTTTGTTTATAGCGCATAAAAAAAAAAAATGAACAGGTGATCACATACCACTGAAAGAAAGCTCTGTTTGTGGAAGAAAAGGACGTACATTTCATTTGGCAGCATTGCATGACCGCGCAATTGTCAGTTAAAGTAACGCAATGCTGTAAAGAAAAAATAGCCTTGTTGGGAAGGGGGGTAAATTCTCTGGAGGGCAAGTAGTTTACAAAATGATCATAAAAATAACATACAGTTAAGTTATTTTTGTTATTTATTGCTATTAACCATTCGAGCTCCAGAAGGTTCTACCCCCTTCATGACAAGGGCATTGTGTGCTTCGCTCCAAACCTAGTCCAATCACATTCCAGTGTCAATTAATATGGAGGGGGCAAATAATAGTGTTACTTACCTGTATACAGAGAATGAGATGACGAGGGCTGCCTCTTGCACAGTTCACATCCGGGAAGCCCTGGATAGTGAGACAGAGACTGCAGGGGAAAAAGAGCGACACAAGTGCAAAGGTGTAGCCGTTGTAAACAGGAACTTGAGAGTGCTGGTGTCTGAAGGGCAGTGATACAGCTGGTGATGCACCGTGATAGTACCGAGTTCACCAGGATGTAGACACAATCAGCATCAGGAAAAGGCAGAGATCAGCAAAAATCAGGCAGTGTGGTACAGAATCATCAGGCAATTATTGAATTATTACCAGTAAGCTCTCCCAAGCTAGAAATTAGCTCTGTATTTTCTTTTCTGCCCAACATGCCCGTCACATAATGCACTTTACAATCTAATTTTTACTGTAAGGGATATGAAGCAGGCAAATTGCTAACAACCCAAGGTAAGAGCCACCCTATTGAACAAAAAAAAAAAAACGTATATTTTGCATCATACCAACTCCACAAAATGATATTACCCTTAGGACATAGCAGATACATATAATTTACTATACTTCACTGTATAACGTATGAGAGGCCCCAATACTCCTTATCCCTCATCTACTATGAGCTCTAGTTTTCGACACTTCCTTTGTCTGCCTATGTTCTCTAAAACTCAACTACAGACCATAAACGCACCTTTCTCTGTCAAAGAGATAGCAGACATATCCAGTGTCTCCCAAATGATAAAGCATCAGGCTCCAACAAGTTTTCAGCTGAATATTATAAAATCTTCTTCACATCTTACCTCCCACCTAGAATAAAATCTTAAATTGTTACCAAGCGCAGGACCCTGCATTCACTATATCTGATTTCCCACATTACACAGAACATGGAAATGCAATAATTTTAGTAAATATAAACTGCTAAATTCCTTTTCTCATCAGCAGTTAGAGCAGTCTTGTGACTTCTATCAGTGTCCAGCAGAGCACTGGCTACAGCTTGCAAGAGGAGTTTTCATGCAGGACCCTTGACCTCTATGATTGGCCCTGTGCTGATCCCACAAACTCTCCCAAGAAAAAAAGAAACTCTCTAGCAATACACACCAAACTGAGCATGTGCAACTTGCCCCTGATCCTCTGTTCTATCAGGAGATATTTAGGAGACACTGGAAGAAGGGAAAAATCAGAGACAGGATCAAACATCATGTTTACACAGTCTGGAGGATTAACCCCTTAGGTTCCACAGTGCGTATAACAAGTATGCTGTACTGCATATACAGACTGATTTTACTGTTGTGGGTTTAGTAGCACTTTAAATTCTGTTGTGTCCTCTGCCACTTTCTCATCAGAAAACCAGGTAAGGAGCTGGTATCGGCCTAAAACTTTCTATATAACTCTTTATAAACCACTTGGCCTCCAGAAGATTTACCCCCCCTTCATGACCATGCCATTTTTTGCTATTCAGCACTCTGCTACTTTAACTGACAATTGTGTGGCCATGTATCCAAATTAAATTTTATATCATATATATATTTTATATTTTATTCACACAAATAGAGCTTTCTTTAGGTGGTTTTTGATCACTACTGGGTTTTTTATTTTTTATTATATAAATGAAAAGGGAAAGAAAATTTTACAATATATTTTTTACGTTTTGCTATAAAACATATCCTATAAAAAATTCATAAATCTAATTTCTACATGCTACATCTCCCAATAAGTGTATATTAATTGGTTTATGTGAAAGTTATAGCATCTACAAATGACATTATATATACTGTAATTTTTATTAATATATATTTTAATGGCGGCGATCAGCAATTTATAACAGGACTGTTATAGTGCATCGCAAAATCTGACACTAACACTAAGTGGGAAATAATTAACTGCTACTGACATCACTAGTGACATTAATATAGTAATTAATGCTAATAAAAGGTGTACTGTGAACTTTGTGCTGTTCTATTTTGTTTTTTTTTCCCTGCTTAGCAGGGAATGAAAAACCAGCAAGATCGCCTGTCACTATAAAGAGCTCTGTGATGTTTACATCAGAGAGTTCTGTCTGTGAATCACTGAGCTGATCAGTGGGTCCCGTCAGTCAATCATTGGCTGGGACCTGCTGATCTGCTTCTGCTGTAAAGAATCACAGCACAACTGGGTCAGCAGGGGTACACACCCGCACTCCCCGGAAATGCTGATCACGTAAAAGGGACATGATGCAGCACAGAAGAGCCGCTCTGTCGCCGTACATTTAAGTGATGTGGTCGGCAAGCAGTTAAACACCAATCTAAAGATCTATGCAAAAATCCTAGCTAATAGATGAATGTTATATATGCCTCAATTAGCAAATGCTGACAAAGTCTGCTTTATTTCAGGTCATTGGGTAGAAAATGCAATTTGCCTAATTTAAAGCCTAACATTTCTGCTTTAGATGCAGAAAAGATCTTCAACAGGATCCATTGGGGATACATGCAAGCAGCTTTATACAAATTTGGATTCCAAGGTATCATTCTATATGTCATTATGACCAATACACTACCCCATCAGCACAGGAACTACATGTTGTCTAGGAGATTTCACATAACAAATGTCACACACAGGGGCGGACTGACTATTTGGAAACTCGGGCACTGCCCGAGGGCCCGGGGTCAGTAGGGGGCCCCATGAGATGCACCTGGTACCTTTTTCATAGGCTTTTTTGAGTTTGGGCAAGGACACAGGGGCCCCATGATCCCCTATTGCCCGAGGGCCCCATAAGTTGTCAGTCCACCCCTGGTCACACACTAAGGGTGTCCATTGTCGCCTCTACTTATTACCCTACTGATAGAACCCCTAGCACAAAAAATAGATCTCAGAGTACATTCAAGGCATCTCTACGCAAAATACTGAACATAACATTAATCTATTTGCAAACGACATAATTTGACTCTTTGTGATCAGACTTCTTCCCTTCATGAAGTATATAAACGTCTGAAACTATTTAACCTCCCTAGCGGTCTGATTATGTCCATATTTCTGTGCTCAAAGTGGTAAATTTTTTTACATGGAAATGTGTTGTTTTTTTATTGTAGGCCTGTAATTCTTAGGAATAATTCACTGAAATCTGTCCGAACAAGAGTCTAGTAAACATCCCGGGTATGATAACATTTGAAACACGAAATCATAAATTATAATATAATAAACAATCATAAAAAATAATAATATCTCCTAGATTGTAAGCTCCAAGGTGCAGGTCCCTCCTATCCCTCTTGTATTGAACTGTATTGTTGCTGTATTGTCTCCCGTTATACTGTAAAGTGCTGAGCAAACTATTGGTGCTATATAAATCCTGTATAATAATAATAATATAATAATAATACATTTAATTCAATAATCTAATCTAACCAAAAACACTGAAATTTGAAATATAGCGCCAAGTTCACACATCACTCAGCTTAGTCGCAAAATCGTTTTCAGTGTCTGATGACGAATTTCCCCACGAATCATAATCACTCAATTCTGCAAGTGGTTCTGATTTACTATCGCTGTTCTCTAGCTGGTCTAAAACCGCTTTTGACCTAAAGGGACGCTTTTTGGACGCCATGGACTTTTCTCAGTTTCCAGGCAGAAAGAACAGTAAAAATGCAGGCAGGGCACAGGACAAAGCACTCGGGACAAATGGTTTGATACAGTAATATTTTACTGTGTGAGTTTAGTGTATTGAGTGAATGTCACATTTTAAAATTTTTGAATTTCCCGCCAGTCCCGTCCCCCCATACATTCTGTACTTCCCGACACTCACAGGGAACGGAACCCGGGAGACGGATGCCGGCATCGGCCGGAGTAGATGGCCAGGGATGCTGCAGGGGAGACATCGCGGGAGCGAAGGACAAGAAAAGGACAAGGTAAGCAAGGTGTAATCCCTGAGCAATGCTGCAATGTAATCCCGCGTGTAGCTCGGGGTTACCGCTTTTGGTACTGAAGGTTAACCACGAGCTACACTCGGGAATACCGCCAAGGGGGTTAATACTGTTTCATATTACAGAATCAATGAGACTAAGTCAAACATTCTTGGTATAGGTATAGATACTAGAACAAAATCTTATCTGCAGACACAATTCCCCTCCACTTGGTCCTATACTTCCATGACCTACTTGGGTATTCAATTAACGACAACTATTTATAACTAATTCAGACTCAACTATCTCCCTCTACGGATGTTGAGTAAACAAGAGCTTGTTAGAATCATTTATCTGATGTGGTGTGGCAGAGTGGCCACTTTTACAATGTTGCTCTTACCCAAGATCCTATATATCTTTAGAGCTCTACCAATTTCACCACCTGCCTCCTTCTTCACGTCTCTGACATGTATAATCTGCAAATATGTATGGTAACCAGGGGCGGACTGACCATTTGGAAATTCGGGCTCTGCCCGAGGAACCGGGCTCAGTAGGGGGCCCCATGAGATGCACCTGGTACCTTTTTCATAGGCTTTTTTGAGTTTGGGCAAGGACACAGGGGCCCCATGATCCTCTATTGCCTGGGGGCCCCATGAGTTGTCAGCCCGCCCCTGATGGTAAGGTTGGAAACTTAGATATCTGCTTTCGACCCTTACCAAACATAAGAAATAAGGTAGCATAGGCTTCCAGGATATGAAAGACTTTTTCAACACCGTCCTGCTAGATCAATTGAAACAGTGGTCTAATACCTCTAATTCTAAACATCTAATTCTAAACATGGTGCATGCTGGAGCAATCTTTCATTCAGCAAGGCAAATTAAGTTACTTGCTATTGGCATCTCCCTTTTTAAAAAATAAATACAAGCTCCCACACCCCACCATTACAGCGGTCCTCATAGCTTGGCTTCATTCCCTAGGTTCTATGTCCTCCTCAGATTCCCTATTTAGCCCTCTAGTATGCCTGGAAATATTCAAAATCTTAATACATAATATATCTTTTAAATACTGGCAACTAGCTTATTCTATGAAATGTTATGCTACATTGGATGGTGACAAAATCCTTCTTTTTAGATCTATTAGAGAGGCCTTCAAAGTTTCGACCTTAGGCTACTATCCATTTGAATCGCATTCTCTCTGCAGAACAATCCAACAATGACTATATGCATACCTGAAAAAACCTGGGCCTCCTGCTTCCCAGAAAAAGGGCCAGCTAAAGGTATTATGCTCCTGTATACCCTTTTAAAATGTAAGAATAAATTTATCAAAAGTTCTTTTTATGGAAATGGGAGCAGAACCTCAATACTACCTTTTCAGACACCCAATGGTTAAAAGCCGTACAGCAAAATGTTCCATGCACCAAATGTATTCACTATTGGGAACTGTCGCAAACGAATCCACCACAGATGATCTCTCTCTCTATCCAGGCCATGTGGGATCTCCTGCATGGTAGGGGTTGGGGAAAGACTTGACAACCTACCCTGTAAAATAATTGCTAAGAGAATTCATGGAAAAAGTCGCTTACAAGTGACGGTCCATGCAATCGCCAAGGGTTGGATACGACTGAAATGGATGGATAGATAGATAGATAGATAGATAGATAGATAGATATAATATAATTTCCCTTTCATAATGTGCAAATCATAGTTCTTAAAATATTCTTTATTTTCAAATTATTGGACTCAAGACTTTCTTTACTGCAGTACTGTGAATCTTTGTTTGGAAGTCTTGTGGTCTCTGTTGTAAAATAGTACATGAAGTAGACTCTAAAGGATAACACTACAATGAGAAAGTAGTGACTGTGATTGGCAGACCTGTCATTAAAGACAGATTGCTAATGGTTTTCTAATATAGGTGGAAAGTTGTAGTGACACAGAGACAAAGATGTGATTGGCAGGAACAATTGCACCTTTCACTGATATTTCTCAGCTCTAAAGTACAGGGGCAAGAAAAGCTTTTTTTTTCTATTCACATAGAATTCCTTAGCATTTTTTTCTTCTAAGTGCTTATATTTTATTATATTACTGTAAAGGTATTGTATTGTGATTTATAAATGCTGTATGCTTTGCAACTTTATCATTTGACATTGACATGCTGTCAAATGACAACTGAACAATGTCCTAGAAGCATTTTTCTCTGTATTGCTATGGAATGTTTAGATTCCTACATTAAATGCTGTCTGCACAGATGTAGCATGCTTGCCAAACTATTCTTGTAATTATTTCTCTGAAAGCAAATCCTGATTTGACTTTCAAATGTTTTCATGTTGACTGTTTCAATATTGTTTTTCAAATATACTATAGGTTTAGATTCATAATCTTTTGGCTGTTTTTATGAAGTGTAGTAAAGCTGAACTTCAGGAAACTTTCATAGCTTCCCTTGTAGTTGGGCTCTTTTCCCACTGCAATGGTTGAAATTAAACTAAAGGCGACACATAAGTCTGCTTAAATGCTTGCCTATCAAAGCAATTTTTCAATTTGTCACATACATGGTAACCACTTCATCTCCAGAAGGTTTTACCCCCTTCATGACCGGGCATTTCTTGCTATTCTGCATTGTGTTATTAACTTTAACTGGTAATTGTACGGTCATGCAACACTGTACCCAAACTAAATTTATATTATTTTTTTCACAGGAATATAGCTTTCTTTTGGTGGTATTTGATCACCCCTGAGTATATATATAAATGTTTTGTTTTTTGGCATACAACATATTTAATAAATAAGTAAATAAATACATACATAAAATCTTCATATGTCTAGGCCAAAATTCATTCTGTTACATATCTTTAGTGAAAAAGTCAATAAATATATCAAATAATTGCTTATAGTGGGACTGTGATAGTGCGGCAGGCAGTCTGACATTAACTGACACTTTGTGGGGACTGACTAACTGTTACGAACATCACCAGTGATCGGTGCTAATAATATAGACTGTCGCTGTACTAATGACACTGGCTGGGAAGGGGTTACTTCTTGGGGCAATCATACATCTAGGCCAAAATGTATTCTGTTACATGTCTTTAGTGAAAATGTAATGTGTGTTTGCTTTGCCCACAGAAGAAACACAGAGGTTGTTTCCTCTGTACAGAGCCCTGTCTTGTGTCTTAAACTCTGGGCTCTGGGCTTTGATTGGACACATCTGATCAGCAAGTCCCAGCCATGAATTAATGGATGAGACCTGCTGACTAAGTCCCACTGTGTTCAGTCACAGCAGAGCTGGCAGGCGGAGGTGCGCGCCCAAAACCCACAAGAAAGCTGGAACATACAGGTATTTTATGGTGCCCGTACAAGCCACCCATCTGCAGTATATGTACTGCGGTGGGTCTGAAAGCTGTTAAATTTAGCAGTTCTTTGCCAGAAAATTACTTAGAACCTCCAAATATGACATTTTTTCTGAAAGTAGAGGCATTTGAAAATAAAAGGGTGGTTGTTGCAGTTGTTGTCACACATTTGTGCAGTCTTTTATCAAGTGTATATTTTCATACACTTAAACAAATTTTAGTGCATGCAAACACAATATATTACCAAATTTTTTGTAAAATATAAAGAAATTACGTTGCATTGTGAAATCAATACCAAACATGTCAACATTTAAAACTGCTCAGGCCTGCGAAATTGCAACAAACTATGGTACCTAAAATTGTATATAGGCAATGTTTTAAAAGCCCTTGCAGGTTATCAGTTTAAAAGTAGACTTGAGCAATGGTACTAGAATTATTGCTCGTGACATTTGCTGCAATACCTCACATGTGTGCTGAAATCCCTGTTTCCCTATGCGTACAGAACATACATACACTTTTGCACTGGCATGCACTTGGGACCCAGGTGCTTTAATTTTTTTTTTATATTTTAATTTATTTTATTTATATAGTCTTTTACACTTATTTAACTTAACTTTATTGCTATCGCAGGGGGTGAAAATGCCCCTTGTAATAACTTTAAGCAGTGACAGGTTGTAGACACACCAGGGGTGGACTGACAACCCATTGGGCCCCTGGGCAATAAGAGATATTGGGTCCCCTGTGTCTCCGCCTACACTAAAGATAAAGCCACACCCACATAACACCCCCACCTACATATTTCAGCTCAATTAAGAAAAAATGGCTTGGGGTTCCCCAAGATTCATACTAGACCCTTATCAGAGAATGCAGCCCGGCAGGTCAGGAAAGGGGGGGGCGAGAGAGCGCCCTCCTCCTGAACTATACCAGGCCACATGCCCTCAACATGGGGGGTGCTTTGGGGGGTTTTCGAAGTAGATCCAACATAAACCACAATGCCTGCTGTCCCTGCTACCCAAAAAAAGGCTCCGCTCCCGACGCTGGCTCCCAGCCATCTGCCTGCTCTTAAATATGCTCTTAAATATGTAAGGGGCGGGGCCACCCAGTGACATCATGCAGGTGGCCCCACATCCTTGTGCCATCTTTGCCCCAGCATGCTCCGGTTGATGATGCCACAAGAGGCAGGGTTACACAGTTGATGTCCCCAGTGGCCCTGCCCCTTAAATATTTAAGAACTGTCAAGCCAGTAGAGCAGGCAGATGGCCAGAAGCCAGCGTCGGGAGCGGAGCCTTTTTTTTTTTTTTTTTTTTTCGGTTAGCGGCGGGCATCATGATTGTCATTGGATCTACTTCAGGGGATATTCTTTTATTTTTCTTCTTTTAATAAAGGACTTTTCAAAGACTGTCTGCTGTCTTTTTTCACAGTACACTTTTTTTTGTGTGAATAGGTAGCAGTACCATGTACCCCATACTCATTCACAAGGGGGGCTGGGATCTCGGGGCCCCTTTGCTAAAGGGGCTTCCAGATTCTGAGAAGCCCCCCACCCGCAGACTCCCACAATCACAGCCCAGGGTTGTGGGGAAGAGGCCCTTGTCCCCACCAGCATGGAGACAAGGTGCTTTGGGGGAGCCCACTCTGCCCAAAAGCACCCCCCCATGTTGAGGGCATGTGGCCTGGTATTGTTCAGGAGGAGGGGAATGCTTGCTTGCGCTTGCCCCCCCCTTTCCTAACCTGCCTGGCTGCATGCTCGGACAAGGGTCTGGTATGGATTTTGGGGGGGACCCCCACACCATTCTTTTTCAAAATTTTGTAATGGGGCTCCCCTCAAAATCCATACCAGACCCGAAGAGCTTGGTATGGATGGGGCGACCCCACACCGTTTTTTAAATTATTAGGGGTTTTTTTGTATTAACAATTTTTATTGATTTTCACATATACATATATATAACACATTAAAAGAGAAAAGAGGAGAAAGAAAAAGCACATCGATGGTGAAATCTGCATGGTTATAAACATAATAATGTCACATAACTACAGTGGGTGGGGCCATCAGAACAGTACAGTTGGAGAAAGGTGGGAGGAGGAGAAATTATCCCATGGGTGCCACACTGCCTCGAACACAGCAGTCGAGCAGGTATGTATAGCAGTCAGGTACTCCATCTGTCGCACATCAGCAATAATTTTAAACAGAGTTCACATCGAAGGAGGTATAGCGGAAAGCCAAC